TATATATATATATATATATATATACTAGCTATAGATAGATAGATAGATATCCATCCATCATAACGTTGGTACTATACGAAAGGCAAACTGTCAAATCATTTTGGATTCCTCCAATGCCAAATATGTTACATTTTTATAAATTAGGACTCGACTATGGCGTTTCTCTCTTAACTCAGCTCAACTCAACTGTATTTATAGAGCACTTTCAAACAGCCATTGCTGCATACAAAGTGCTGTACATGGAGCAATTTAACATATACAACAAACAGTAAAGCAAATCGGTAATAAAGATGGTAGAAAGCACCGAACAGCAAAACCAAGAACAAATCTAAGTCATGCTGAGTCAAATGCCAAAGAATACGAGTGAGTTTTGAGGCGGGTTTTGAAGATGGGCAGCGAGGAGGCTTGCCGAATGTTCAGTGGGAGGTCATTCCAGAGAGAGGGACCAGCAACAGAAAAGGCTCGATCCCCTCTGAGCCTCAGTTTAGTTCTTGGTACTTCTAATAATGTCTGGTCCGCAGACCTGAGGCGCCGGGCAGGTGTGTTGGGGCGGAGGAGCTCATTTAGAGATTTGAAAACAAATAAGAGGATCTTGAAAATAACTCTAAAATGTATGGGGAGCCAGACTAGGAGTTATGTGCTCCCTCTGTCGAGTCCCAGTCAAGAGGCGAGCAGTCTCTCTCTCTCTCTCTCTCTCTGGGTTCGGTTCCCACTCAGCTCAGTGACGATGTGAATGGTTGTTCATCTCTATATGTGCCAGGCGACCAGTTCAGGGTGTAGTCTGCCTTCCACCTGAAGTCAGCTGGCATAGGCTCCAGCAACTCACTGCCACCCAGTTAAGGATAATTGAAAATGTTGAAAATGGACAGATGGATGTCAATTACAGCTTCTTTAATTTGTTAAGGCATAGAAGATTTTGTACACTGATGATATGTGCACAGTGCAATGGACTAATGTATATAAGTGAAAATCAATATTGCTCAGAAAAACTTCACATTTTCATTCAAATAAATGCAAGGAAGCCTGAGGTTAGCCATCAATTTATTCACAAACATAAGATAAGATAAGAAAAAACGTTATTTGTCTCACAATGGAGAAATTGGAGAAACATGAGGTATAAATTGAGTCAAACACATGAACAAGCAAAGTATAGTTGAAAAACTCTTTTTAAAATACTATAAATAAATTGTGATTACACAGTTTAAAAAAAAGGATGGAATGTAGATTCATTTACCTCAATGTGCAAATATACCTTTATCCTGTTACTTAATTGGCTCAGTGTGTATAGGTTCAGCAAAATATAATAGTTTGTACACAATAGTTTTAGTTATTTTATATTATAGTTTTTTTTTTTTTGTTTTTTTTAATTTGGAGTTTATCGCATACAGCAGGTCTCTCTAACTAGCACACGACGACCATTCAACTTCCTGACTTCTAAGCATGAAAAATGTCTCTCGACAAAAACACTAATATTCACCATTCATTTGGGTAACCCCCTATTCGGGGGTTCTTTCAAAAATTTCAAACAGAGTGAAACCGCCGCACACAACCCTAGCCTGCAGAGTGTAGCGCGAGTTCACAGTTTGGGGTTTCCACAGGACTGCCTTGCTTGTGGAGGTCATTTTGTACAAAGTCAGCAGAGATATCGTCTCAGAGCTGGGTGTTCTTGTCAAAGTGCTCAGCCTTGCCTTTATTAATATGATCCTCATTCAACTCAAAAGAGCTATTTTCCACATGAAAGCGCTTCTCCTTTGCTCGTTCTACAGAGCCGTCTTCAAATGACGGAGATTCACTGTCTGTTTCAGCTGATCCCGGACCACGTGACTTTTTATAGGCTTGGTATCCTGTGGAGCGAAATGGAAAAAATGTGAATGATTCATCACCTCAACATAATTATTTCAATCACCAGACAATTATCCACCAGGTCATTTTGAACTTGAAGACTAAAGTTGTAAAAGGTGTAATGAATAGTTCGACCACTGTGACCAACAATGAGGATTATCTCGCGAAGCTCCTATAAAAGACCACTGTCCTTGAACACAGTTTCTCAGTAAAACTGTATTTAATCCCTTACTCCCTTCTGCTCATGAATTGAAATTGCTCTGGCGGTGTACATGTGAAAAAAATGCTACTCAAGCCAGGCACAGGTAATCTTTTGCAAGGTATGTTTTACACAGCTTTTGATGGCACATTATATGGTATGAACCTTGGTCATTGTCCTTGGGCTCACTGCAGCGAAAAGACCTTCCATTTGCTCTGCTTACACTTACGCACACGCACACACATATGTGTTCCCACCTACGGACTTCTGTCAAACGGAAATTCCCTCACCAGGTACGGGGTAATCGATCGGAACCCGGAAGCCATATGGAAGCCCACAGTAGCGCAAACTCAAGCAAGTACCTCCCGATACTATGGAATAACTGTCAGTGCCGCTATTTACACTCATTGGATCCAAAACGGTGACATGGAAGTGACTCTATTGGCATGAGTTTTACTGGAATCACGAACGATTTTCTATTTTATGCATTTACATTTACGTCCTGTAGATCATGGCATCCAAACGATCTAAACGGTAATGACCGTGGAAGAGAGAGTGGAATGCATCCGATTACCTGCTCAGAGTAAATTGCTTGTGGCTCGACAGACAATCAAGTAAACGAACGTTTGCTGGAATGCTTTACGTGTTATTGTGCTAAAAATCTTCCGCAACTGGACCGCTAATTAGATAGAAGGTGAGTTCTAACTATGGGCATCGAGGACTTCGAAGCGTCCCGTGGCTGGCTTCAAAAGTGCGTTGCACCACATCAGTTGAGCAATGCTGTCTTGTGTGGTGATCGAGGGGGGGTCAAGTTAGAGACAGTGAGTGAGCGGAAAGAAAAGCCTGTCACTAGTCTAATTTTGTTGCAAACACAGTAGTCCTAATTTTGTTATACTATATTTTGTTCATATACCTGTACTGTATGCTACAGGTTTTGCGTTATAAACAGTTTTTGGAGCATATATTTTTTGCATTTTATTGCTTGCATTGTTACACATGTACTAGTCTTCATAGTGGTGTGTTTCTCTTTCCGTCTAACTGTCTGTCCAAATCTGGAAACGCCTCTCAGTTCCTAATTCATTTGAACTGGCACATGCCAATTTCTCTTATTGGTCACTGGGGCAGTAATTACTGATCCTATGACCTTTACCTGAAAAATAAAAGCCAGGCGAACTGTATGGTAGACCATCAAAAAAAAAAAAATGATCCCAGCAACTTTGTCCTGTCCCATCTGCTTGTTTTATGGCTAAAATGCGGTGAAGTTATTTTTAATTAATTACAGATATTAAATGTCGTCCCTGAATTTAATTCAGTCATTATAAGAGGGATTTTAATAAAAATGACACACAACCATGTTTAGAGAGTATGACAGTATTCCTAGTATGTGATATAATTGGTTGTTGCCAGACCATTTTTTTTAATATAAAGATGCCACTATGACTCAAAATTATGAAAATGAAATATTCTCTAATATGGGGGCACTCGTTAAAAGTTTTTCCTGAATTAAAATCGATGAGACGTTCACACAGACAGATCACCAACAGACTCAGGCTTATCTCACACACTGCACTAAAACCAGTCGTAAACGGAAGCTGCTGCTTGTTATCACGTGTTCACCATATTTGGTTATTTTTGACTCACAAATATGCTTCTGAGAAGAAAACAGCACTGTATCACAAAATTGTGAGTGTTCACATTTGGTCAATACTTTTTGCTCACCTCCCACAAAGAGGACAGCCACCACGAGCTGAAAGATGCTGTAGATAAGGGGAAATGCAAACATGATCTCCAGTTCGGCCGGATTGAAGGACAGCTGGACAATGGTGCTACACAACTGGGAGTTCTGAAAGCCAGTCTCCAAAGCAATCGTTCGACACCTGGGAGGGGGGAAAAAAAAAAAAAAAAACGTAACGGAACTGCAGCATGTACATGCTGAGCAAAATTAAAGTAAAGCTTTTTTGAAGACAACCAAGTGTTCAATTCTCTTGAACACAGTCCAGCATGATATGTTGTAAACAGGTTTGCACCACTTTGGCAACATTTTGAAACAGTTCATATGAACAACTGTCCCCTTACCTGTACCATGGTTGACCTGCAAAGCGGGCCAGAAGAAAACCCAGCCCAAAACCAATAAAGGGGTAGATAGTTCCAATTATCCAAAGGGAGGGTGCAATGGTCCAGGAAGACTGGTAAAGAATCCCCCCAACGACAGCAATGATGATAATGAGAGCAAAGCCTGTCAATGACCCAATCTAGACAGAAAAGACATAATATACAGTGAATAACATGTGGATTGGTGTGTGCAAGATGACA